ATTGAATGAACATCTAGCAATGTGCAAACAATATTCGCAGTACCTATCTACAGAGATGTATTAAGTAATAAGAAGCCAATCAATTAAATAAAAATAGCAAATTTGAATTCTCATTAAAGCACCACAATATATAACAATGTACTTTCCTAATTAGGTTTTCGTGTATGGTTTTTTTTAATTGTATGTGTATGATTGTATTTGATAATAAAATAAATAAATAAATAATAATAATAACCGCGGCAAAAGCGTGTTACGAGTACAAGACTCGTCTACGTCACTCATACGTCACGCATACATTATGTGTTTCCCAAGTGCAGGACTGCAGGTGGCTCGATTGAGCAATCGTGTTGAAAAAGTGCTTATTAGACAGATTTAGTTCATGTAAAACCTTCAGACAGTTTTGGGAGTTGCTTGAGCTTCAATCGTGGAAGCATCTTGACGTATAGTTTGTAAGACCTGATCATCGGGATCAATTAGTATAAGTAATTTTGTACAACATTTAAATAAATAAAGTTATAATTTAAAGTTCAGTTTTTAAAACCCTACCTGACGGCTCAATTCCGTAATTGGCGCAGTCGGTAGGATAGTCGAGTCAGTGCGAGCATCATACTTCGATCCGCCTGATAGTCGTGTCGTCGGCGTGTCGACTATCTCTACGAATCTACGCGAAGCAGTCGTCAGACGGGAAAGAAGAATCAACTTCGAAAAACGGCGCTAATCCAAAAATCGATGGCCCATCACCACACTAAGCTAAGCATCCTGCTCCTGTGAGTTTTATTATATAAGTTACGTATTCCTATTGGTTGCCAGCGGCCCCTTTCCTGTCTCCCGTAGGACGTAATAAGGAAAGGACAGAATCTGCGGCGCAGTATTCGTCCTAATTCTAGAGAATTAAGGTTTCATCGCGAAATCGAATTATCTACATTAGAAAGCATAGAAGAAGAAATGGCGACCGAACAACAATCTGTAGCTTATTCAAACGATATGACAGAAAAGATTTGGAAATCTTTAAGGCTAGTTCCTGAGTTTGATGGAAATTGGAACATTTTAATTAGATTTTTGAACATTTGCGACCAACTGATTTTAACATATGTTAATCCAGCTCCGGGAAATGAACTAAATAATTACGCTTTAATTAATGGAATTTTTAATAAAATAACCGGGCCTGCTGCTAAAATATTAGCAACAAATGGCATCTCCTAGGACTGGAATGGCATAAGAAATGCGCTAATTAACAGCTTTTCGGATCACAGAGAATAGTCCGCCCTATACACCGATTTATCTATGTTAACTCAAGGTTCCGATACACCGCAAATATTTTACGAGCGAGTTCAAAATTTACTTAGTATAATTATGACTTATGTAGAATTACACGAACAAATTAAAACAACAGTTGAGGCTAAACGTGAACTTTACAAAAAAATTAGCTCTTCAAACATATACCAGAGGCCTAGCCGTGCCTTTAGGCTCACGTGTCAGGTGCATGCACCCCGACTCGCTAGAAAAGACCTTGGATTTCGCCCAGGAAGAATTAAACGTCATATACTTACAATCGAAAGCCAGTAACCCGCTAATTTCTAAGAAATCGATTAACAATGCCCCGTTTAATTACTCACCTTTTAATTCGCATGACTCACTTATGCCTTCGAGACAATTCAATTCTGGAATGCTTACACATCAATTTAAACCTTTTAAAAACCATTTCAACCACCATTTCAACCACAAAAACCATTTCATGCAACAAGCCACTTTCCCTAATAATTTGTACCGAAAAATATAAGACCTTTCGGATAGTTTTAATAAGCATATTAGTTTATATAAAGAAATGACCATCCAACAAACTCAAATTTTAAATAATATCTCTTCAAATCAAAGAAAATTAGAAAAAGCAATAATTTCAATAAGTAATACATCTGTAACTGAAAAAGAACAGATGTATCAATTTACGCAGATTTCCCAATTATTTAGCATACTTACGGAAAATATTCTGGAACTCTCATCTGAAATAATCTAGATTAGGTAATATTTTAGCTTTTAGTCGCACAAACGTAATGCACCATTCTATACTATATATAAGTGATTTAAAAAATATTTTAACACAGCTTAAAAATCTATATAATCTCAATACGTTGCTAAACTTAGATGTTAGGTTTTATTACGATCTAATTACCTTAGGATCATATTTTATTGATAAGAAAATCGTAATTGTCTTGAAGTTTTCTATAATGTCTCTAGAAACATATGACCTTTATAGACTCTATCCTGTTCCTAATAAAAACTCAGAAATTATTCTTCCACCATTCCCACATGGCATCCAATTCCCAGGAATTTGCGTACATGGAGGCTGAATGCCCGAAGATCGACACCTGGTACATATGCAAGCAGCAGTTTAACCATCAAACCCGAACACGCAGTGACTGCGTTTTCAATCTCATTTATCATCAGAATACAGGAGAGTGCCATCCTACATCCATATCACTCCTGAAGGAAGCACTACTAGAACTGGACAGTTAACATTATATTTTATCATTACCTAACAAAATCAAAGTAAAAATATCATGCGGACAAGAAAAATATCATCTGTTAAAAGGAAGCTACTTCGCAACGATTCCCCGAAATTGCAACATTCACACACCAGAATTCACAATTGTTAATACTGATGACAAATTTAGTGGGCAACCTGTTGAAATAATAAGATTCCCACATTCGACTCCGATGTCAGCAAATTCGAAGAAAAACTTACCACATTATAATTTCACAACAATTGATTTGAACAAATTACACAATATTCAACATCAATTACTCATGGACCCACCTGTTAGAATTAACAGCGTAGATTTATCCAGCTTATATCACACCACGATACCTACATACGTCATCATACTGTTAAGTGCACTTGCACTCATTAGTGTGGCTTACTACTGAGACGGCGCGTAAGAACCAACAGCGAGTTAAATCTACACAGCCTCAAGAGATGGAAATGGCATCAGCGGGTTCTACACCATCCACCGAAGAAAGAAAAGCTTTCAATCTTCGCAAATAGTTGCTCATCTAGGAGGGAAGGTGTTACGAGTACAAGACTCGTCTACGTCACTCATACGTCACGCGCACATTATGTGTTTCCCAAGTGCAGGACTGCAGGTGGCTAGATTGAGCAATCGTGTTGAAAAGTGCTTATTAGACAGATTTAGTTCATGTAAAACCTTCGGACAGTTTTGGGAGTTGCTTGAGCTTTAATCGTGGAAGCATCTTGACGTATAGTTTGTAAGACCTGATCATCGGGATCAATTAGTATAAGTAATTTTGTAAAACATTTAAATAAATAAAGTTATAATTTAAAGTTTAGTTTTTAAAAACCCTACCTGACGGCTCAATTCCGTAATTAGCGTCACAAATCCAACAAATCTAAACAAGCTATCGTAAAGCTAACAACAGAAAGCGGAATTGTCGAGCCCTTTTACGTGTGATTGTAGAGAAACGATACGAAATTATTCCGGTGTCGGGGCGTAGAACTCGTTAGAACTCCGTTCCCGACATTAATGTTACAGTTCTCGAAATCATCAAACAACACAGTTCGTTTCCATATAAAAAGACTATGTTACTTATTTCGTAGTAATTCGAGATGGTTTGATACGTAAGTCGGTAAGTTCAATAACTTCTAATTCACTTTAAAGAAATTGTCTGCATAAGTATAATTTTCTGTTATTGTCTGCATAATTATTGGAAATCTTATAATTTGTGTTGAAGTTCTGTTTACAAACAAAGTAAATGGCAAATATTTTAAAGCGGCTAATAAATCTTTTGCCTTCCTTAATTTTACTTTTGTCGGGCAACTTTACAAACTTAATTAAATAGGATTATATACTTTATTTGACATTACCAAATACAAAATTAGACATATTTTCAATACGACCTGCTGTGCAATTCTGCATTGTATCTTTACTACACGACGTATCAGTTTTACCGACAGCTCTGATCAGCCACTGAGCTATTTCCTTGGTCAATTAACCAATAGAGCACAGTGAATGGTACCAGACAATTGTGTCAGCCAAGGCACCCGTCAGACGGGTCCTACCTAGCTCCTAGCTTTCTCCGCTCGGGTGTCAACCACAGAGCCTCCGGTTGCGCACAGTACGTCCACTGGAGCGAATAACTCGACCCGACAGATTTTATCAGGGGAATGCTTCGCGTAATCAGCTATAGCTGGAATTTAGCACGCGTTAGCCTGTTTTAGGTTATTTCAGGGATACATCTATGCATCAAAGTTATGAATGTAAGTTCCTATTTTGCTCGTTTAACTCAAATCACTGTTAAAGAAGTACCTTTACACTGTGATAAACTCTAAATTTTTGGCTAGCGTTTATATAAGTGTGGTCTAGTGTTAATATGACAAAACATTACACTCTTCCTGGTGTTCAATTCCGTTAATATTTTCTCTATTTCATGCTTTAGTCTCATCAGGTGTTAGCAGTAGAGATCCGAAACAATAGTTTTTCCCAGAAAACTCAATATTATACCCTTTTCCACGCTGCAAGCATACTGCACACTGCACGCGTACCTTGTGGCGTATACGCCAAAGTCTATAGAGCTCGGCTTACCTTTTAACCACGATCTTTTTCGCACGTTCTAGTCATACACACCACAAAACACACAAACTTCACGTGTGTATATTTATAATTTTCATCAAAAGTGATAAACCTTTTAACAGAAGTAGGTAGTCAACCTTTTCATCACAAGTAATCAACCTTTTCAAAAATGGTTTGATTTCATTAGGCTTTAACGAGAATCGCAACTAAGAACACCGTTCGTTGTGTATCTTTCAGTACGCTCGTGTCCAAATAAAATTATCAAAGCTGTTTTATGGTCAATACTTAATTTGAAGTGTGGACACTGGTGAACATAAAGAATATTAATAATGTATTAAGGTAGGTACTTCAACTTTACATAAATATATATTAAGTTCTGAACAAAGCATGCGATACAATATCCGCAATACGTACCATTGCACCAACTCCTTATTCTCTTCCAGGCCGGACGGCGTCGCTAATGTGTCCGCGTCGCCCTCAGTCCTTCCGCCAGGGTGCTCGGGTATGACTCTCTCTATGGTGGTCACCTCCTCAATATCCGAATCTATTCCTTGAGCGAAGTCCATGTAGAAAGACTCCCGAGAGTCGCTGGACCCCCGCCGCAGCTTCAGGGACAAATCCGGAGAACTGTCATCCATTTTGGCTACACTTGCTGGCGTTACAAGAACACAACTAGCGCGACATAGTTTCGTACGTTCTCAAAACTGGATCCATTTTTACACTTCTTGGGTTGGGTATGATGAGTCATGTGAGCGTTTTCGGCGTTTAAGAGATTAACCCATGGTGACTGTATGGAAAGAGTTGGAACGTGAGCATTATTGTTACAGATGGCTTTAAATACTAATTACGCAGGTAAGTGCCTAATAAAATTATGGTAAATATCTGTTTATATTTACCATGGTTTTATTTTATTGTTATGGCCATCTTTGTAATCTTTTTATCCTTGCTAATATTTTAATTGCAAAAGTGAGTTTGTTTGTTACTCAATCACGCAAAAACTACGGAACGGATCTGTATGAAATGTACGTATATATTGTGAGATCTGGATTGATACCTAGAAGAAGAAAGAAGTTCCTGTGGGATTCCCAAAAATCAAAGTGAACGCGGGCGAAGTCGAAGGCGGCCGATAGTACGTAATATATTTTAAAAAATCTTATGAAATTCCTTAACACTCATGTCACTTGTATTTATTTATAGCAAGAGTACCTACTTCGGAGGTCCTGCGTTCGTTTTCAATGTTCTATCCTCAGTAAGAGATAGGCATAGCATTATAACTCCGGTCCCGTAGCTATTAGGTAAACATTGCATACAGCGACATCTAGGAAAGTAAGCTGGTAAAATTATCCTTTAATATCTGACCAACTGAAAATAAATGTAATGTGGGATAGACGAAATTTAACTATAGCAGAATAAAATTTACTAAATAGTCTTCGTTTCGAGTGTTAATATTGTAGCTATGTAGGTTCGGAACCTTCGTGTGCGGGTCGCACTTGACCGGTTCTTTTATTTTTATTTTAATTTTATAGTCCTTTGATAAAGTCCTTTACTTCGATACAATGAAAAAAACAATTAGCCCTGACTTCCCGCAACTGGCAGAAACCAAAAAAACCTGCGACACTTGTGTTCCAACAAAAAATCCTAAGTTGTCTCACGCGCGGCACAAAAAACGCGGTCCATAGTAAAAAGGAACAATGACCTGTAAACCGTTCGTAGTAACCTTCCCTAAAATCGACACCGCTTCCTGTCACTTTAACAACTGGCAGCGGATCACGCACACGCTTCGATACCATACGTCAGTGTGTGTAGGTGCCGCTTAACTCGATACACTGTCGAACCGCGTATCGATAACAAGACAACTAGTACCCTTCGCATTCAAAGAGGTCTGATGAATTAATGCAAGCATGAATATGTATAACACATCTTGACCCGCCTTTTGGTCAGCCAAAGGAGCCGAAGACTTATTACCAACGCTAAAACAGGATTTAACTGCATGCTGCTGCACTTACATGGAACGAATAAACTAAAAAGGATAGGAAATGAGTATAAAGGTGAAAGCTTTGAAAGTAGTTTTTGTACATGATAGCAAATAAATAAATAAAAAAAAGTATCTGTCAGATCCTTAGTGCTGTAAGGTCAGGTCTAAGCTCACCGTTTGTTTTACATTTAAGTATTTTTTAAATTGAACAACTACCTATTCGGATTTTTTAAAAGAAAACTTTATGGTGGAAAACTTATAAGATAAAGATAATCAGTTAGTTAAAGTTAAATTATTTACGCAACTGTAGACTTATAGAGTATTTCTATAAAACCTATATATTTACAAATACACTCTGTCAGGGATTCCAATAAGAAATCAAGTGACGGGATATATAAACTCGAACTGTAGACGCTAAAGATAAGTTACGAACGGCGCATTAATATTTAATGCATCATCCAGAAGCGATGGTATCGCCACCGGTCCCTCGGGAACAACAATAATGCCCATGAACCAACATATTCATTTGCACACGACATACAATCGGCCGATTCTAATGCCGGGCACGCATCGTGCCGGCAAAGGTATTGACACGGAATAATTCAACAGTCACTCACACTAGCACACCGGTTTTTTAGTAACAGAAACACGTGTTTGTGAAATAGAGGAACGCGAGCTAAGCGCCCTCTCGCGGCGGAGCTTGGCGCGCTATTGCCGCGAGGGACGAACGAACGAACGAAACGCAGCGCGCGGGAAGGGCGGGGGATGCACCCTCTCCGGGATCAATCACACTCGGACCAGGATATTTGGGATAGTGCCATTGACATTGCATTGCGATTTTATCAAGCGACCTCACAATATTGTTTGGAAAACATATTCTCAGGGAATACGGAACAGCCAGTCTATACTTTAGGTATAGACTGTTTACGATATAGGTGTCATTGTGTCCCTGCTTTCTGTATGAAAGCACTAAAGAAACCAATATATCAATATACTGAACTGTAGCCTAATGATATATCATTATCACGAGTTATAACTCGTAATATTTACAAAGGGCTGTCATGTAAGTTTAGCATCGCACGAGTCATTCTTTGGAGTTTCGTTACGATGCTTCCGGGTTAGAATTTCGGTAAGGATCAGTTAGTACAAATTGTCTGTTACCCTAATGCTAAAGCTTTAATATTTACCACTGGCTGACATGTAAGTCTATCATCACATCAGTCATTCAGGACAGTAGGACATGAATTGCCTGATATTTTAAAAATATATATGAATACAGTTTATATTCTTTGAACTTACTGACTCTTTATATTTAAAATCGAACACAAATAACAAAACTGAAGGAGAAATAAAACAAAGTATGCAATCATTTTTGTTTTTATACAAGTTATTAACATACTATGTAATATGAACAGTAAAACTATACTTACATTACACATACAATCAATATCACAATACTTCCTAGTCTTTAATATAATGAACGTTTCTTTCATGCTGATATAAGTTATACATATTTGCCAAATTATTATTTTACTGCAATGAAACAGATACAATTTAGAACAGTGAATAAAAAAAGGTTGTACCCCGAAATATTTCAGAAAAATATTTTTTCAATATAAATAAAACACATCTATAATTACTGTGATTATTATAATAATTGGATTATTGACCCCTTTTCACAGTCACCATAACATCTAGGTAATTCTTATTTAAATATGAAAGTTAAGTGAGAGGTCATTCATTCACCTACTTATCACAAAATAATGATAGTATCAAACCACAAGCAGAAAGCTAGTAACACTAAATAAACGGACGTCCGGACGATCATTCATTCACCGACTAATCGCGACACTAAGAAACTACTCGTCCTTGACCCACGAAGATTTAACGCTGAGATAGATTAAGCGTAGTAAACTATTTATAGGTAAGAAAGGATTTTAAGATGATTGTGTGTTTGTAAATTTCCCCAGCGATAAAAAACTAAGTTGCGGACACAACTATAGAGTATATCGAGTGAAGTTTAAAAATAATATATAAATGTCAATACACAGCAGTTATTTAGTCCCAATTCGAAAATGGATATTAAATAACGTATATAATACATATATTACATAACCACAGGAACTAAAATTTTAGCACTCACACAAATAAATACCTGGATTCTAACCCAGGTTTAATAATAAATAAATAACGGTCGCAATACCAGAATGGATATTGAATAATGAATATAATACACATATATCATACATAAACAAGCACGGGAACTAATATTTGAGCACTCACACAAATAAATAGCTGGATTCGAACCCAGGTTTAATAATAAATAAATACCGGTTGCAATACCAGAATGGATATTGAATGACGAATATAATACACATTTATCATACATAAATAACTACGGGAACTAATATTTGAGCACATACACAAACTAATACCGGGATTCGAACCCAGGACCTTTGTACCAGAAGTAATACCGTTACACCAACAGTAGCGAAAAAACAATTACTTTCGATTTTTATTTGTTCTATCTGCCTGCCTGTGAAAAGAAGACAAAACCATACCTAATCCAATATATTACGAATAAAGAATAAATTAAAACTTTTGTTTACTTTATATTATTATTGCCAAAAATATTAATTGTATACGTAAATGCTGTAATCATATATATTTGGTACTTGAATAAAATTATTATGAATTGATAAAATTAATATGATTTATAAATATTTCACCACAAAAACAGTTTAATAACATCTTTATAACTAAGATTACTATTAATCTACTAAGATCCAGAGTATCTGAAGTTTATATTGTCACATTTTTGTTATTTTATAATTAATTTTATTCAATTATAATTAAACGTCTGCCTAAAACTACAGTTTAAACAATATTTTCCTTTATTAATTTAACAAATAATAATATTTCGCAAATAAATATCAAAAGACGAAACGACTAATAAAGTGCAGATATTGCTCTATAATAAACCAAATTTAATTTTATAATAATGAATCCATTTTAAACATGTCCTTTTACTTCATTAAAACTAAGCTTGCTAGATAAACCCACATTTATAAGTAACAACAGCCTTACAGTACCTACTCATAAAGGAGATTGCTCAAATTGGCCCAAATGCACAAAAAATATTGACATACACGGTAATTCTTAGCGTAATTTATAATTAAATTTACAGTCATTTGATTTCAACGGACACCTTTGTATAATATATTTACTTTAAAAAGGACTTAATTTTACTTTTAATGGCTATGGGTGTAGTAACATTCAGCCAAAGACAGATCGAAGTTGTTTATTTAACATAAAAACAAATCTATTTTGTAAAGATCGATAAAATAAATCATTTTTTTATTACACTGTGGTATTAATATCCACAACTATATTATCATTGTTACTAGATGCAAATGTGCTCAAGACAATTATTATAGATGGTAGGCGACATCATAAAGTCTACTGCCATACATTTTTCGCCAAACACCTCCATAAACACATTATAATCTATATATATGTTAGACTTTAAGGTATCTATCTATGGGCCTACGTTCCCTGACTATAAATTAATAAATAAAAAAATTATAAGGTGTGATACACTAAAAATCTAAAATATGGTTATCTTAAAAAAATAACAAAAATAATGAAGCTACTGAATATACGGCTATAGAACCTAAATCTGTTAGCTTTCTTTGGTTAACGAGAGTTTAAAAATTCTCTCTAATCTGTGGCTAATTCACAATCATCACACAGTTTCTGTCACAGAGTACCTTATTATAACCGGAAATGACACCTGATTTAAAAAGTTAAGTTTGACGACCTCCGTGGCCGAGTGGTTTGTACGCCGGGTTTCAAGGCTGTCGCCGACTCGAGAGGTCCCGGGTTCGAATCCCGGTGGGGACAGATGTTTGTGTGATGAATACGAGCATTTGTACTCCAGTCATGGATGTTTAATATGTATTTATATAAATATACTTATATATGTACAGTATATGTATTCTATCCGTTACCCTAGCATCCCATAACACAAGCCTTATAGTGCTTACTTTGGGGCTAGGCTAATTGGTGTGAGTGTCGGAAATATTTATTATTATTATTCTCTTTATTTATTGTATACCATATTGATTACATTTTTAAATATTGATATAAAAATAAAAACATTTAAAAATATAAAAAATAGAAGCCAACCGGCAGCGGGAACAGGGTCCTAGCTACCGGTGGTTAGGGCCCCAGAGAGAGGAACCTCCTCACAATGCGAGCCGTGTCAAGGAGCACTGCCTTCTGTATCAGGCCCTTGATCCAGTCACCCAACTCGAGCCTCCGCAGATGACAGTCGAAGCTCTTAGCTATCAGGCCATTGGCTGTCACAACTATCGGCACAATGATAGCCGAGTCAACATCCCACATGGCGACAACCTCATGAGCCAAGTCAAGATATTTTATTTGTTTATCTTTCTCGGCTTTCATGAGGTTCTCGTCATGAGGGATGGCCACATCAACTATCATTGCGAGGCGCTTTTCCCGATCTATCATCACTATATCAGGCTTATTAGCAACAATAGTCCTGTCAGTGATGATAGATCGGTCCCAGTACAGCGTGATATGACCACTTTCGAGAACTGGGTCGGGCACATACCTGTAATATGGCACCTCAGAAGCAACAAGGTTGTATTTCAGGGCAAGCTGCTGATGGATAATCCTGGCCACTTGGTTGTGTCTGTGCAAGTACTCGCCGTTAGCTAGACGAGAACAACCCGAAAGAATATGCCTAATCGATTCACCAGGACAGTGACATGCCCGACATATGTCAACCGTCCCATCTTTCAGGATATACTTTCGGTAATTGTTCGTCATCATAACTTCGTCTGCAATTGCACAAACAAAACCTTCGGTCTCTCCAAATAGATTACCGAATCGAAGCCAGGCCATGGACGCTTTGAGATCTACTTCGGGTCTATGTAGCGCCCGGAAAAAGCGTCCATGAAGCTCTTTGCCCTGCCATACCTCCCTGCGTTCATCTGTTGTCATTATTACAGGTTTGCGCCAGTTCTCTTTAGCTAAGGATAGAGGGGTCAAGCCCGAGTCCACTGCGACCACATCCCGATGCATACCTACGTCAGCTTTTAAAAAGTATTCCCTAAGGCTGCACACCTCACGGTTGTGGAGAGTCTTGGCATTTAAAAAGCCACGACCTCCACACTTCCGTGGAATGTACAGCCTCATGACCGATGAACGTGGGTGATGCATTCGGTTTGCAGTCAACAGTGTGCGAACTCTTCTGTCCAGGGCGTTCAATTCTGTCTGAGTCCACTTGAGTATGCCAAAGGAGTACATCAGGACCGGCATGACCCAACCGTTGAAGGCGCGCACCTTATTGCCACCTGACAAAACACTTGTCAGTACTTTGTTCAGGCGACCAAAGAAGCGCTCCTGCACCGATTGTTTCATGTCAGCCCCATTAATGCCTAACCCCTCGGACATTCCCAAGTACTTGTAGGTCTCGTCTGCGGAGAGGGATCTGATATTTATAGAATCCGAAAGTTGCAATCCTTCGGATTCGACAATCTCTCCCCTCTTTACATGCATAACTGCACATTTGTCCACACCAAATTCCATATTGATATCTTTACTAAAAGTTTCTGTTACTTTCAGTAACTCCATCAATTGCAATTTAGTAGGAGCAAACAATTTTAGGTCATCCATGTAAAGAAGGTGAGATATTATCTGACCTCCTCTTCGCAAACAGAAACCCAGCCCTGAAGCTTCCAGCAATGTGCTGAGGGGATTCATGGCTAGGCAGAACCACAATGGACTCAGACTATCACCCTGGAATATTCCCCGCTCAATCCTTATCAGTTCGTCGTTCTCCCGAATTGGTCGACATCCTGGATAGCAAAGAACCGTCCTCCATTGCCCCATACATGACATCAGGAAGGTGCGTAGAGTTGTATCCACTTTGTACAACTCCAGCACCCTCATGAGCCATGTATGTGGCACAGAGTCATAGGCCTTCTTGTAGTCTATCCAACATGTCGATAAATTCTTTCGAGAACGCCGAGCCTGTTGGCTAATGGCCATATCGATGAGGAGAAGCTCCTTAGTACCACGGGACCCATTCCTACATCCATTTTGAGTAGCATTCATTACAGAATTTTGTACAATATGGTTTAAAATTTTTGCCCTCAAAATGGATGTAAGAAGCTTATAGACCGTTGGTAAGCATGTAATCGGTCTATAGTTTTTGGGTTCCATGGTACTACCTGATTTGTGGAGCAAGTGGGTAATACCAGTCGTGAGCAACTGCGGGAGCGAACCACTGTCTAAGCAGGACTGAAACTGCGATGCCAAGCAAGCGTGTGACGTACGTAGCCATTTCAACCAGAAG